TGGCCAAGGAGTCTGCTCGAAAGCGAGAGTGCTCTCCCTCCAGCAATTCGCATTCGGCGCTTCCCAAGAGACTCCTCTCGCGAAGAACGTCGCGCCATTTGCATTCTTATTCAGATTCCAGCATTACATTCTCTTCGACTACAGACGCTGACGCTAAAACCCAAGCTCCAGAGATCGATGAATCTAACCCACTCGCCTCGGAAACGCAAGACGCAGCTGTTCTTGGCACTGCTATTGACGCACAGAACACGTTTGACGACGAAGACTTAGCAATCGTCGCCGATCAGATCGCCGAAAACGCCAATGAAAGTTTTGCAGAAAAGGTAACCCCCGATACCAGTGCCACGTCTACCTTGAACGGCGACGAAGAGGTCACCTACGAGAACGAACTTGATCTCAACGCCGACCTACCTGAAGCCGACGTTGTTGAAGCCGAGGTTGCCGACGAAGATGATGGGCTAGCGGAGATTGACTGGAGAGAATTCTCCGGGCAAGGAGATGACGAGATTGCCGTAGAGTCCCCTTCAGCCTCTGGCAAACGCCAGAGGTCGGATGTGGACGACCTGCTGGATGCTGAAGCTCAACAAGGTATGCTCAAGAGGCCCAAAAGACTCTGCACATAATAAGCTAACTTTGTGCTAGACGTCAAGCGTCGTCGACCATGAGCTTTGGGTAACATCCCAACTAACCTCCCTTCGGTGTGTCACTCAACGCGACCGGATCTAGGTCCACGAGGCTTCCCCTTCCCGCCCTAGATCAGTCCGGCGACTAGGCCACAAAGCAGCCTGATTCCATGATCACCGACATTTAAAGCATGAAGATACACCCGGCAAGTAGGGCATCGCAATCGGAGCGACCGTATAGCCCTCGAGGTAGGTTTCCAAAATTGTTATTCCCACTGACTTACAGCTTTCCCAATTTCCAACCATCCCCAGGCGGTGACCTGGCAATTCCATGAACGACATACCCTTAATGCCGTCCTTCCCCGGAGCTTTTCGATACCCCCTCTGTTCTCTTGCGATATTGGTGGATTCTGGCGTAGAATGGGTCTCAAAAGCAATGCGATCATCTTCGTGGTTATGGTCGATTTTTCTTGTACAATAAGACGTCTCAAGGATTTGAGGGGTGGTCATGGATTTGGTCACCAAGAACGGCCCGCTCAGCAAGGTGAAGTGTACGTCTGTCTTTTTTCGACAAAGAGTTGGACGAGATCATCATCTGCATCCGTTGGGATATCTACTTGATGATCAGTCACTTTGGGGCTCTGGCTCGAAGGAAGATATTTCAGAGCATCGAGCTGAGGCGTTGATTTCCTCGAAAGGAGAAACCGGAATAGTTATTTTTACCTGAGTTATCTGACGAAGAATACGCATATTTTACTTGACTTGATGAGGGGCTTTGCGTGTCATGGTCTAAACAGCGGCTACACTCGCACCTGAGCCTCGTTTTCCTCAAAAGTCGTCACAGTCACAGTCTGGCCGTTAAGCCATGTCAATGGTGAACTGGCTCTTTTGCGCAAGCGCTTCTTGTTCATCTTATAGTGCACTTCTATAGTTTCTCGAAACTGTTCTAGAGCTCCCTAGTAAACGTCCAAGAGCCATAACAGCATGAAGATTGGCACGGGGATATAAGCAGTCACCCCCCCACACCCCTTGCAAAGGCAGAGCTCCAGCGTTTTCTGCAGGTAATTAAGAGCTAGCAGTCAATAGGCAGGGAAAGTATATCACGGTTTGGGGTGATTTAGCTGGTAAGATTAAGGTCTGTCAGTGACGGAAGGTTTTCTGGCCTTGTTGGAACTCTGTGTGTGGTAGTACGGGCACACACTAGGTATCCGTACTTAAACTACATATATTAAAAACGTCAAAGACGTGTCGATCAGGTACGGAGAGTGATAGAGTTCCCCTTGAGTAGTTTGCTGCCGTTGGAAACTTGGACGGCGTGCACCCCCGAACGGTGACAAGACGTGGTAATCCCTGCTATTGTTCTGTCCGATTTTTTTGTTTTTGCGACAAACGCTCGTTCGTTTTCTTCTTCCTGTCTCGCTTCTCCAATTCTTAAGAGGACAGATAATGGTAGACTTACGGGTAGGTCGCCTCCGTAACTGAACTTTTTGGGTGGTGGGCTTCGTTTCGACGACCGTTCGCGCTCAATGCGCTGCCTCTACTTTGCTTGAGCCCCCCCCCCCCCTCTCTCTACTCCACCTGGTCTTCCCTCCTTCCAGGGCCGTTAATTGAAATGTACGGGTGGCGGCAGCGGAGGAAACGAGCTGTCAGTGACAGACGCATTTCTCTTGCTCGATTGTTTCTAACGGCTCGGATGGGGGATCCGGGGGACGATGTGAGGACCAGCTTGAGATATTGACAGGGGGAGCGAACGATCTCGCATTTCGAGTCAAGTGAATGGTACTCGGTACTTTGGCTACCGTTTATCACTTGCGTTGAGCTCAATCCGCATTACCTAGGCACCTAGGGCCGACGGTGGCATAGGAAAAGTAAAGAGGCGTTGGTCACGAGTTACGGCATGGGAATTGCGCCTTTCATTCCTCTTGTCGTGGGCACTCTTACATAAGATATGGTAAGGGAAATCAAGGGTTTGACACGACGAAAGGGCTTGGAAGGGCTTGGGATGTATGGAGGCGGAAGGGGGCGGACGGGCAGAGTCTCCAGTCATCTGCTTGACGGCTGGCTGATAACTGAATCTGTCCCTCTCTTTATCTATGGATAAGTAGAGACAGAGAAACGGCAGGCCATCGCCGGCTTCGGGCCCTATCGGCAAAGCGGACTCGAGATATTCCCGTCCGCTGGGTGACAGACTGGCAAGATGGGCAGTGACGAGTGACGACGACGGCTTCCGCAGTAAGGATGCGCGGTAAGGATGGCCAAAGAGTGAGATGGTGGCTGTGACTGTTGGTTTAATTAACGAGGGCCAGTTTTTGGTGGTCGTGTCGAGACTCGTGGGTGCCAGTGTGGGTTCGGAGGGGGAACTGGGAGTCGGCGGACGGTGGTGTCCAGTCCAGGGGAGGAGGGAGGCAGCAGTCACCAGTCACAGTGTCATTCGTAATGAACCTGTTTCAATGGGACCCCACATGGGTTGTGAGAGAAAAATAGAAATGCCGATTTCTCTCGTGGATCGGATCTTCGTATGGAGATTTGCAGGGGTGGAGGAGAAAGCACTGACTTGTTCTGTACGGATAGTGTCGACTGATGGCCGAGAGGACCAAGCCTCCTACCATTTTTCGTATAGGCCCTGCTGTTCACAGGGGAGAATATGATGTTCCTGTGCTGTGTACCTGTATCCGCACATAATACTGAAGACATTATGCCATTGGGTGTTCATTGAAGAAGGTTGAGCGAGAGTCTCCTGTAGGCTGTACTCTGCTGGCTGCAGTCCGTTTCGTTCAGGGGTTCATGGGCTCAGCGTGGATCGAGGACGAGACTAACCAAGGAACCGCCCCTCAAGACTGACACTCCAGGAGGAGAAGGCCTGGAGACTTGGGGAGACTTTGGGGGGAGTCGTGGGAGTTTGCTGCCAACCACGGCCCCCTGCGGATAGAGATGGTGTCCTCCTCTGGCGCCCTTAACACCCCTGTCGGAGTTGAGTCGAGCTGCGTTAGCACAGGTATTATTTTTCAGTTGTGACTTGTGAGCCCCTGCTTGCTGGCTCTGCGATGACCTCAGTGATGGAGGATAAGAGTTGGTATGCTAGGCAGGGTGAAGACATCGTGACATGCTTTGACAGTCAGCATAGTGGGAAGACGGTGAGATATGTTGGATGCATGGATAGACATGGGCAGATGAAGGAGAAGAACGAGAGAGTTTGAACACATAAGAAGAAACTGGTCCGGACGAAGAAGCAACGAAGTCTTGGCGTCCCTGTCAGGAAATCGCCTTCCGTCCAAAATCGCATGCGAAGCCTGTTCCATCCTCACTGGATTCCGTCCGACATCCGTCCAAGGCTTCTGGTCGCACTGCTGGTGTGCCCAAGGTGTATAAGATTCAAGTGTTGGCGACTGCCCTGAATCGCTGCATGTTGTATCAGTCCAAGGCATGTTCGTACAACATCGTGGTCTGTTAATGAGGACTGGACCAAACCAAGTCGGGCCAAACCCACCAGGCTGAGCATTTGGTCATGACAGAAAAATTCGGCGCTCCCCCGGGCCTCTAAGGCGTGCCCACTGCAAGGTCCAAAATGGACAGCTTGGCCTGGCCCTTTCCTCTACGAAGTAGCGGCAGTAGCCCCCCATCCGGTCGGCCTCAGCCCCTCGACCCTCTCTCCCGTCCGGTCGACGAGCAGCCCACATGTAGGTAGGTTGGTAAGTACCCGTTCAGTCAGGTATCCGTAGCTAAGGTACCTTGGTCAACCCCACCCGCGCTCAACAAGTCTGGCGTCCGCGGCCAAAGTTCGTTCCCGTCCTTTCGCGCAGGCCCGTCTGGTATTTTTAGGGACAAAGTCACCTTTTTGGGTCTGTATTTCACATGTACCTCTCAATATTAGCGCTAGGTAGTCATTCGCCTACCTAGGTAGCTACTATTCGAGCACCACGACGACCCCAGCTGAATAGCACAAGGAAAAAAGAAGAAGAGAAAGTGCGCTATCGTCAAGAACGCGTATGCTCTAATCTGCCAATCCAGGTTTGCCCAACAGGAGATACCTGGGTTACCTAAGGTAATGGACAAAAGTGATTGGGGGCATAGCAATACCAAACACCTCTGTCTGTATGGATCAGATGCCTAGGTGACCTGTCCTGCTTCACATTTCGCTGCAGGGCACCTCTTCAACCCTTCCCAGGGGCCTCTGAAACTCAAACCTGTCCCTATCTGGCTGGTTGGCATTCCTCGACACGCACCTACCCACCGGGAAGTCAGACAAGACCACCTTTTTCCTGCACCTCAGTATTCCCAAGATCCCACCACTTGCTTGTCTTACCTAAGAAAAGGTACCTGTCTACACATACTCTTGACACCAAGATACGGAGCACTGGACGGATACCTGACGTACCTCACTTATCGACCGACGCAGCAGAGAGGTACCTTGCCATTCCGTTACCGCCAATACCTTGCTTGCCTCTGCATCGCCTCGCCTTGCGGTATTGCCGCACCTCGAGAACCCTCAAGAGGTACCTGTCACGCTACGTACCACTCTCACAGTTTTATCTGCAAAATCCTACGAAACACTCTCCCTCCCCTTTCGGCTTTCCATTTGCGCCAACCAACCATCCCCGACCCCGACACACCTCTCAGTGACACCAAGACCACGACGACTCCCTCGACTCGCTTTCGAATCCCCTCCACTCGAACTCGACGACGAACGGCCACGATCCATCACGAACGCCCATCTCCTCTCTCTCTTTCTCTCCTCAACTGCGACTCCCCGACTACCTAGAGTCCCCCGAGTTCCAGATTTCCATGTGTCGCTGCTGACGAGGTTCGACCTACCACTCCAAATCTCTCTCTACCTCGCCCGGCGCGAGCCTCGCAAGCTCCCCTTCACGGGACACGACACTCTCTACAGCGACCGCACTTGCCTCGGCGCACACCTCTAATCACCATCGACACTCTTTTCGCTGTCCGTCGCAGTCGACGCGCTCATTTTTTGGCAAGATGATGTTGGACGAGAAGTACGTTTGCGACTCGGTCGGCCTTTTGGTCGCTCTCCAGACCCTGCCCATACGTCCACCTGGCCTCGGAACTCGAAATCGCTGACAGACCACCCGCGCAGATACATTGGCCTAGGCCTCGCCATGGCATCCAGTTTAGCCATTGGTATGCGTTCCTTTCCCACCGTTTCTCGTAGGCTACATCGCTGACAAAGCTCGCCTCACAGGTATTAGTTTCGTGGTTACGAAAAAGGTACGCGCGGTTCCTGATCGCTCGAGTTGCCCTTGGCACTACTTACAATTGGCCCTGCAATGGACGGGAGCTAACCCCACGGCTATAGGGTCTTATGCAAGCAGAAGAACGTCATGGCTTCGAGGGCGACGGATTTGTATATCTGAAGAGCCCAGTTTGGTGGGCTGGTATCTCAACTTGTGAGTCTTCATTAGGACCTCGACCAAAGGCGACGAAGCGGCTAATACATGCGTAGTGGTCGTTGGAGAAATCTGCAATTTTGCTGCCTATGCATTCGCGCCAGCCATTCTCGTTACACCTCTTGGAGCTCTCTCTGTCCTGATTGGTGCTGTCCTGGGTTCATACTTCCTGAAGGAGGAGCTTGGAGTTCTGGGTCGCCTGGGCAGTGCAATCTGTCTAATCGGCGCCGTCATCATTGTGCTACATGCGCCGCCAGATGAAGATATCCAGACTGTCGACCAGATCCTGCACTACGCCATTCAGCCGGGTATGTCAACAATTGTGCATAACAAAGCGCCCGAGGACTAATTTCTTCATTAGGCTTTTTGTTGTACGCCTTCACTGTCACCGTCTTTGCAGTGGTCATGATTTACAGGGTCGCGCCGCTCCACGGAAAGAAGAACCCGATCATTTACCTCTCCATTTGCTCAACGGTTGGATCAGTCTCGGTCATGTCTGTCAAGGCCTTTGGAATCGCCCTCAAGCTCACATTCGCCGGAAACAATCAGTTCAGCCACCCTTCGACTTACGTTTTCATGATCCTCACCACCGTTTGCATTTTGACGCAGATGAACTACTTCAACAAGGCTCTTGCTCAGTTCCCCACCAACATGTAAGTCAAAGAACGCCGAATCTGTGATTGTCAAAATGGCGCTAATCGGGGACCATGTAGTGTCAACCCCCTCTACTACGTTACCTTCACGACAATGACCCTATGCGCCTCCTTCATTCTTTTCGGCGGTTTCAATACAACCGACACGGTCAACACGATATCCCTTCTCTGCGGTTTCCTGGTCACTTTCACCGGCGTCTACCTGTTGAACCTGTCGAGATCTGACCCGAACGGTCACAAATATGTTGCAGGCCGCGGCGGCGACGATGCCACCGGCACAGACATGATCTCTACAATTCAGACTCGTTTGAGTATGCAGGCACGCCGGAGTGGAGACCCTCACCGGATGAGCATTGGCAGCCGTCACGGCGATACAACAGGGTTGATGAGGGCCTACGATGAGGAGGCTGGTGCCGAATTCGGTCTGACCGATCTGGCCGATGAGAGCGACGACGATAATGACCGCCACAGAGCCAACGGGACCGCCAACGGCCACTCGAAAACATACAACGAGACAATTGAGCTTCAGAACCAGAGGTCCGACAGATGAGGGGCCTGGAGGATGAACCGTCTGTTTTCTAGCTATCGGCCAACGCCGAGGCGGTGATTGTCTTTTTTCTTCGAAGCATTTCTTACCAGGGGCCCGAATGGGGGCAGCATTGTACATTTTCGCGAAAGTCAAATGACTGAGAAGTTTTCCACGACATGATCGGATTCATGAAAGAGGCAAAGACCCACGGAACAAGGCGCGCGTCCCGAGTGAGGGAGGGGGAAAAGCGCCAAAGGGAAAACCCAGAATCAAGCTTTTCCCCATACTATTTCACTTCTGCTACGGCACGAGGAGTATTCACTGGGCAACGGGAGGGATCACTACTTGAGGGGCGTTTATCGGGGTTTCCAATGGATACTGGGTGTGCGGAAAGCACCTCTTGTTGTACGATTAAGGGCAAGGCGAATGGGGGAGAGGTGTATGTGGGCGATAGCGAGAGTGTGAAGCATACCCTGGTTCGCCTGGAGACTGGCATCTTCTGTTCACTGTCCAAAGCATTTCAAAAACCATAGACGTAGGCTGAGGCCTAGAGCCTCGCGAATTGAGCATCATGGATCGACTACAAATCACCGTCATGTAGCGACAAAGTGACAGGATGGGCGAGAAGAAACGGCTTGGACTGCTATGATAATCAACAAAGACACGAGAGTGAGGTGGCTCATGACTTGGATAGCAGGACCTCTGCTCATAGCTGGTGGATTATATACGGCGTCACGTATTGGGCATGCAATTTACTTTTGAATGATTTCGTTGCTCATTTCATGGTTTGTTCTACCATTACAAGCCAGTCGCAACTATCCGAATTCCCTTTCGCAGAGTAATGCAAATGTTGATCAAGACGCCTGAGTAGTTATTCCACCCCCGTCCTCCCATTTTTGCTGGTCTTTTCGCGCGAAACACCCCGTTTTTTGTATTCCCCTAGTCTGGTATTGGAAGAAAACTAGAGTGAACTAGAAGACAGAAGCGTGCGACAAAAAGAAGCAGACTCGAAAAATCCCCCCTTCACGCTGAACAGTTCTCTAGTCCCCTTTTGTGTGTTTACCAACCGGCGGGGCTGGAAGAGTCAGCCTGCTCGAAAGAAACCTGCAGCTCGCCAGTCTCCTACGACTGAGCCTCAGCCTCCTCGCCAGCCTCGGGTTGCTGCTCCGCTTGTTGCGCCTCAGCGGCGGCCTGGGCCTGGGCGGCCTTAGCGCCGTAGTCCTGGGACATGGGCTGGACGACGGACTGCTCCTCCTTGGGCTCAAGGATGGAGACGGCGTCGGGGAGGGTCTTCTGGGGGCCGGCCTTGCCCTCGGGGTCGGAGCCGCGCATGATCTTGACCTTGATGCCGAGAACACCCTGGCGGAGGAGGACGTGGCGGGTGGCGTGGTCGATGAAGTCCTTGGCGGGCTGACCAGAGTGGATCATGAAGCCGTCGGTGAACTTCATGGACTTGGCGCGGGCGGCGCGGAGCTTGCCGGAGACGACAACCTCGCAACCCTTGGCGCCGGACTCCATGATGAAGCGGAGGACACCGTAGCAGGCGCGGCGGACGGCGAGACCGTTGAGGAGCTTGTAGCGGAGGGACTCGCACTGGGCGACGGCGGAGAGACCGCGGTTCTGGACCTTGGCGGCGTAGAGGGAGACGGAGTTCTCGGGGAACTTGAAGCGCTTCTGGATGAGCGAGGTGAGCTCGCGGATGCGGCGGCCCTGCTCGCCGAGAACCTCCTGGGTGTGGGTGGCGCGGATGATGATGTCGGTTACCGTGGGGGTGACGCGGACCTCGACGCCGGAGTAGCCCTCCTCGGCCAGCTCGCGCTGGAAGAACTCGTTGAGCTCAGCGTAGAAGACGCCATCGGCGACGAACTTTCTGCGCTTGGAGCTACATTGGGGGAAAAAGACGAATCGTCAGCAAAGACTGTTCCTCCAAATGTTCATATGTTTTTCCTTCGCAACATTTCCATCCCCGAGAGCATTTCCATCCACCGTGGGAAATTCGAGATTGGCGAAATTTGGGCGATTGGCGGGGAGGAGGGATCTCGAGGAAATGTTGCAAAGGCAAAGCCACCATTGGAAACAGAGGAAGGACAGTTCTTACATCTGAGTGCCTGGAACAGCCATCTTGACTTTCGTGTGCCCGGGTTTGTCGAAAGGGGGGGATAGTTGGACGAATTGTTGGAGTGTCGACGGTTTCGTTCGGCGGAGGGGCGGAAGGTTGAGAAGTGAGGTTGTTCGAGTAGTCCATACTTGCCCAATCGTCAGTGCCCCGGATCGATTTTGCGCTGCAAAAATTGAGCAAATTCTGTGTGCCCTAGAGAGGCGGGCGATAAGGGGAAACCTTTGGCCTTTTGTGGTCTGTGCTCTTTTCTTATCGAGACACGCCAGGCTGTTGGCAGTGGACCCCACTTGCCAGCTGTGGTGACCTGCCAGGCGTAAAGTGCATTTTCCTCCTTGTCTGCCTGCCCTGGTCAGTAAAATCGATACGTACCCCATTCGAGTGTGCTTTGCACGTGCTGGCTGGCTGATCATCGGGACATCGGGAGAGAGAGCTCCGTCGGCCGGTAGTGGGGTTTCAAGGGGCCAGCTTTGGCTTGGTGGGGACCACAGTCGCGGGAATTTGGAGGTCCCCTGTTGGGTTGCAGGCTTGCAGCGTGCTGGCCACGATGGTGACGGTCACAGGGGAGCTGAGAGCGTCAGGTGGGTGACATTTGATGCTCTGGATCCAGAACAAAATGCGATTCAGTACCAAGCTGCCTTGCCTCGTCACCAGATGGAATTCGCCCAATGATTATTATATGGCGTCTGATGGGTATTCAATAATCATGAAAAGAGTTCAACTTCTCGAAAGCGCATTTTAGTTCCTATGAAAAAGGTTACATCGTCCAACTTTGCTGGTTTGGAAGAGCGCACTCAAGCACTGACACTGAAAGCCGTGACGTCGGCTCTCTGTTCTCAGCCCCGCGCTAAGCTAAGGGACCAGGTAGATGGTGTGGATCAGCCGTTCCTTCTCTTCCTGCTGCTCCTGCTCTTTGCGACTGCGCAGCAGCAAAATCAACCCCAGACAGCCGGCGTCCAACCTGACAACCGCAACCGTCCCTCCCCACGTTACCTGACCTTGCCTCCAAACCTTACCCAGCCCAACCCTCCGACCTCCAATATTGTGTGGTTGCATTGATTTTTCTTTGGTCTCTTCTTTTTCCTATTCAACCTTTCTACCCTCACTGAAGTTGCGCAGCTTTTTTGCTGCTCTTCTTCCAGTGAATTTTTCTACCTGCAAACACTTAACTCCCGGGCCTTCCGCATTTGCGCGCGGCCATGCTCTAGTAGCTCAAAGAAGCATCATCTTCCACATTGCACTTCATCCATCATGGAGGCTAGGAAGGTAAGCCATGTGCCTTTTTCATAGACTGAATTTTCTCACACGATATGATATTAAAAGGGAAAAGCTGACCATGTTGTGATTGCAAAACTACAGGTAGTCGAAAACGTTCAGTGCATCAACGGAGGACTCACCTCGGTCGGCACCTTGCGCTTGACCGATTTCCACCTTGTCTTCTGCGCGCCGCCACCTCCCCCCAAGAACCAAACCGCCGACCAAGCCGATAAACCTCCCCCGAAACCTCGAGAATCATGGATCACCTATCCTATTCTATCGCAGTGCATACTCCGACTCATGCCTCCAACTCATGGCATTCACAGCTCTATCCGCATCCGCTGTCGCGACTTCATCTTTGTCACTTTCAATTTTGAGGACAATAACGTTGCTCGAGACGTCTTTGAGTTTGTGAAGCTCAGAACTTGCAAACTGGGCACCATCGAGAGGCTCTTTGCTTTCAGTCACAAGCCCTCCAAGGCCGAGCGACAGATCAATGGCTGGAGCATCTACGACCCCAAAGCCGAGTTCCGGCGCCAGGGCATTAGCGAGAAGTCGTCAGACAAAGGATGGAGAATCACCAACATCAATAAGGACTATACTTTCTGCGACACTTATCCCGCCGTTCTGGTGGTGCCCTCTTGCATCTCAGACAACGTTTTGAAATACGCCAAGGAGTATCGTTCTAGACACAGAATTCCCGCCCTGAGTTACATCCACGCAGACAACAACTGCACTATTACTCGCAGCTCGCAACCTCTTTCAGGCATTACCAGGAAGAACAATGTGCAGGACGAGAAGCTGGTTTTGGCTTCATTTGCACCTATCATGCCCCGAAGCAGCATTGATCAAGACCAGCCTCCTCGCCTGAGCCAGTCAGATATCTCTGAAAAGTCGTCGACAGATGGGGAGCTCTCTGAGCAGATTGTCGCAGACGATGAGCCCAAGATGTTTGATGAGAACGGCAAACGCCTCATCTATGGTGCCCAACAAGCCAATATGATTGTCGACGCCAGACCTACTGTGAATGCCATGGTCAATCAGATTGGAGGAATGGGGTCTGAGCCCATGGACCGCTACCCAGGTGCCAAGAAAGCCTTCATGAACATTGAGAACATCCATGTGATGAGGAAGTCGCTGGAGAGCGTTATGCTTTGTCTCAAGGATGCCGACCTGTCTCCATTGTCTCCTGACCAGAACGCCTTGGCTGCCACCAACTGGCTGAAGCACACGCAACCTGTTTTGAATGGAGCCGATATTGTCGCCAAGCAAGTATGGCTGAAGCAGTCGCACGTCCTCATTCACTGCTCCGATGGCTGGGACCGAACCAGTCAACTTAGTGCTCTTGCACAGATCATGCTGGACCCTTTCTTCCGAACTATCGAAGGGTTCATTGTTCTTGTCGAGAAGGACTGGCTTGCCTTTGGCCATATGTTTAGGCTTCGATGTGGCCACTTGAACCACGAGGACAACTTCAAGGTCCAAAACGACTCGATGGCAGGCTCAACTATTCAGCCTGGAGAGAATGACGGCCGCGCAGATGCCTTCCAGAACGTCTTCACTGGTGCCAGGCAGCTGTTCAATCCCAGCAAGGAGGACAAGGCTGAACTCGATGCCATTACCGAAGGCTCTACCGGAAAAGTTGCGAAAGACGAGGCTACTGTTCCTAAGATGGTCAGCCCTGTGTTCCACCAATTTGTGGACTGCGTCTATCAGCTTCTCCGCCAGAACCCGACTAAGTTTGAGTTCAATGAGAGATTCCTTCGTCGACTGATCTATCATCTCTACTCCTGTCAATATGGCACCTTCCTCTACAACTCCGAGAAACAGAGACACGAGGCTCGTGCCTCTGAGCGCACTTCTTCGGTCTGGGACTACTTCTTGTCCCGCAAGCCAGAGTTCACCAACAAGGACTATGATCCGACCTTCGATGAGTATGTTAAGGGCCGCAGCCGTATCATAGTGCCTGATATGACCAACATCCGCTGGTGGCACCAACTCTTCAATCGGACTGACGAGGAGATGAATTCGCATCTCAACGCCGTAGCGACCGCTGCAGCCAACAGAGCTACAGCCATGAACGAACTGCACCCAACTACGGAGGATTCTTACGCGAATAGCCAGCCTGGCACTCCGCCCCAATCCGCCGCAAGCCCCAAGCCGCCTTCTCTCCCTACCAGCCAGTCGGTTCTGGGAGGTGTAGAGAACACGCACACTACTTTGACGCCCAATTATCAAGAGCGACAGGCCCCGGTTCTGCGTCGAAGTGTGTCGGCCGAGAACTCCAATGCGTTCAGTGCAGTGAGAGATGGAATTGCTGGCTTGAACATTGGCAAAAACGTCAGCGGAATGCTGAACAATCTGGCCGGACGTAACGCCAGTCCTGCTTCCACTTCGAGGGTTACAAGTCGCAGCGAGCAAGAGCTCCGGGAGATGACATAGGGCGTCATGTTCGAACGAATGCACGACGCGCCTTATACCGTCGAGGTGACTAGTGCTACAATGAAACTCGACGCCGAGCTCTTCTACCAGGAGAATTGGGCTGACTCAACTTATACGTTGAGCAACTGGGGCGATTCAACAATCTGGGAATGGGGTACCAAAGCCGTCGCCAACGTCGCCAACTTGAGCAACGACTGGTCAAACTTGACCGATGGCTTGGCCGAGGACACCCCTCATGGAGATGCTTGCGCTGACAATATCGCCCGCGATGATGATGATGATGGCGTCTGCGTCACTGGAGATGCGTCAACCGACATTGACGCCGGTTCCGACGCGTCCTCGATTCATTCTCTCGATCGTGTCACGACGGGGGATGTTGCCGATGTTGGCAACTTTATTTTGGTAAACACAAACAAAGAGGCCATGTCTGCCGAGAACGGCGGGTCTATGACTCCCAGCCACTAGCCGCACAAGACTTCCTAGTTCAACATTTCAGGAGTTTAGCATGTACTTGCTGCATTTTCACCGCACGACTACGAAGGGCACGAAAGAAATAGGGTCTCTCAGCGAACGCAATTCCAACACCTTTGCCTCGGAGGGGACAAACTGATTTACGGCTTTCCATGACAGCGAGCCGGAGTTTTGTACAATTATTACGACTTTTTTCTTCTTCTTTTCCGCATCCGCCCCTTTTTCTCTCGACGTTCGTCATGCTGAATACACAGCAATTCTTTTACCCCCAGCTCTGTTTTCCGGCGTCCAAGAGGTGTGATTGCGTTCAAGACTGGTAAAGGGAGGGTTCAAACGGGGATCAGGGGATGAAATGGATTCGTTCATACAGCAGCAACGCGGTTTGGAAGGGCATGGGGGCAAGAGAAAAGTTTGCGTGAATGGACATACGCACAGGGAGACACGAGAGCGAAACAGAAAACGAGAGACGAGAGATGGGAGAGAGGTGGAGAGGCTTGGGGGTCCGTCGTATAGATCCACTTGGATTTTCGAACTCCTGTGTTCTCTCGATTCCATAATTCTAATCAGTCTGAAGTTAACTCTTGCTCCCGTGATGATGCGCGCGATAATATGCAGCGGTCGCCAGGCGCGTGCTGCACATCAAACTACCATGGCTTGTAAGAAACCTACCCTCGGCACTCTGTAGGTAGGTCGCGACGGGTTTCTCTTTTTGTTTGATCTTTTTTTGTTATTCTTGGGTGCCCGTTGCCTCATCTAGCTCGCCTAGTGTAAAGAACAAAGTCTATATCCGACCGCCTTACGTCTAGCAAAGCCTTTTTTACGTTTTTAGAAAACTATCCGTAGCCATTCATCATGTCCGTATCCCATCATGCTTCATCAACTACAAGAAGACCTCGAGGTTGATCTCGAGGGTGCTCACAGGGTATCTGTCGTCACCATTAGCATCCAATGGCCATTAATCGTAATTAGAGAGGGAGAGGGGGGGCTGTTTGGTATTACCTCAAGTCAAACTTCTCCAACACAGTGGGGTGCAAGATGCCGAACTCGCCGATGCGCGCCTCCTTACCGCCCAGACGCAGGTAGATAGCAGCCGCGTGGCCAGCGAAGAAAGTGGCCTCGTCAATCTCCTCGATCCAGTAGCCGTCAGGCTTGCTGGGGTTCTCGACGACCTTGAAGTCAACGCTCTTGCCTGCCTTGAGTCCCTCGTCATGAGTGAGGAAAGCTGTACGGAGCATCAAGAGAACGCGGTCCAGAAGACCGTGAACAACCTCGAAACCACTGGTCTTACCATACCAGGCAGCAGCGAAGTGGCGCTCGTTGCGAGCCTTGCGCTCCAGAGACTCGTCCTTGAAGACGACGTCCGCTGACTCGAAGATCTTGATGGGGACGCTGTGCTTCTTATTCTCGCGGATGGTCTTGAGAAGACCAGGGACCAGGGATGTCCGCACAACCTGGTACTCGGCAGTCTTGGGGTTGGCAAGCTTGACAGCAGTCTTGCCGTCATCCTTGCGGTTCAGCCAGCCGAAGTTCTCGTCGTGGCTGCACAGAATCAGAGGCATGACTTCACTCCAACCAGACATGGCGGCCTCTGTCCGCACAATATCAGCGAGCTTGTTGATCATGAGAGGCGCTCCAATGGTAGCGCTCTTGTTAGGAGAAGATCTAGGAAGGTTGTTGTAGCCATAGCAGATGGCCAGGTCCTCCATGACGTCGCATTGGTGGAGCACATCGGCACGGGTGACGGGAATTGACACGCTGAGGAGGTTGCTGTCCTTGTCGGAGGGCTTGGCAATGTACGCCATCTTGTTGAGGAGCTGGCACATCTTCTCGGGTGTCTCGCTAAGGCCAGTGCAGGCGTTGAGGTAGTCAATCTCGACATCGATCGTGCGGGGGGCGAGGGTTGGTGTCGTTCTTGATGCGCCGTTGTGCTCGGAAACGATCTTGACGGGCTCAACGGTGAAGGGCTCGGAGCAGTACTGCGAGAACATTGTAACCATCATGTCGCAGACAATATCGAGCTTGGTGGCGTCCGTTGCTGTCATCTCGATGAAGACGTTCTTGGTGTTGACGGTGATCTTGGAGTGGTCGCCGTTGATGATGGGCGGCAGCGAGCAGACAGTCCGGTTCTTGTCGTAGATGACGGGGTAGACGGGAGAGTCCTTGATGATGTGCAGGTACCTGCCGAGATGCTTGTCACTCTCGTAGAATTGCATCAGCTCCTCGCCGTTCATCTCCTTGGTCTGGTTCAGGGGCTTGAACTTGATGTCCTTGGCCGGCAGGGCCTCATATGTGAAGGGGCCTTCTATCGTGTCGAGGTCGTGGGTTCCGATGGCCACCAATGTTCTTTGTCTCGCCAAGTTCATGTGCAGCTTGTCCTGGAGGCCGATGAAGGAGTCGTAGCTCTCCTGGGTGAACTTGATGTTTCTGAGAATGGCACCAGCAACGAGGGGTCGGATCTTGCTGGTGTCCTGGGCGACGGTAATGACGGAGGCCTCGGGGTTCTTGGGTTCTACGACCTTGTAGTTGGGTGCGGCAACCTTCTCTCTGAAGATGTTGAGCATGAGTGCGATACCCTCGAAGCACAGCATGTCGTATCGGTTGGCGGGGATCTCGATCTTCAGCTGGGGCGGCTCCTGCACGCCATTGACAATCGGTCGGTCGTCATTCTCGGTGTCCTCGTCGAGCTCGATACCGAATTCGAAGCACAGGTCTTCGAATTCTTGGGTGGTGAAGCTGTGCGGGCGAGGATCAGCAAAAGGCAGTCTGGGGATGGCGGGGTCAAGATGTCTAGATCGGGGCGGACGGTGCCAGCACGGCGCAACTCACTTTTGGCCTAGGGCCTTGTACAGATCGTACTTGTTGACGGATATGGTAGGCATGGTGAGAATTAGCGAGAGTCTCTCGAGGGTGCAGAGGTCCGGCTGGCGTCAGGGGCAGGAGAGGATTCAAGCAATGGTCAATTTCCGTCTCCAATATAGCCTTGAGTCACAGAAATTTTGGGGATACTCGGAGGTGAAGCAACTGCATGCACGCATGGAAAGTTCGCCGGGGCGGGATGAAGTTGCTGCTTTAAGAGGTCAGTGGGAGTCATTCCAACTTTATCGCAGCCATTGGAGGGGCTGCGGGGTTGAGGGGCAGCAAAAGCAGCGGTCGCACTCGGCATCTCAATTTTCCAGGGTCCGATGTCAGAGAGTGGTCCGTGTCAACCGACACCGGGACGGGTAGCAGCGCAGCACAACGCAGCCCAGCGCAGGCAGGAGAAATGGAAGCCATAAATCACCATAGTCCTCTTCGATGCAGGCCCATCGACAGCTGGCGGCCAGTGCACACAGCCGTGCGCACATTCCAGCCACGACATGTTTCGCCGCTGGTGGAAGGTGGGAGGGACACCTGAGCTGTTTGCTGGTAACGGGAAAGTTTGGCAGATGCCTCACTGACAGCTCGTAGCTACCCACGACGTTGACCAAAGGTAAGGTAAGGTATTTCACTACCTTACCTAGGTGCTGGCCGAAATGCGCGCGGAGCAGAATATGCTGGATTCCGATTCATTACCTTAATCGCAATCATGCCATTCCGAATACCCAGACTCGGAACAACGTTAAATATGATGTAGATGTCCCATAACCCCTCCCCTCCATGAACGTAGTGCATACTAAGTACCTACCTATGATCAGGTAGCTTAGCTGCAGGCTGAATGACCCCTCCTCGGCCGGTCACCAGGGAGACATCTCATCAGGCCAAGAAGGAATGAAGCTGGACTTGAAAGTTGGGATGTCTCAAGCATAGTTAGAAAAGTGCCACCTATGGTGCATATTGTGTTAGCTTCAGAGGGCATAGAAAGTTCCAAGGAACGTGAGGACGTTGGAGGAGCGATACGTCAGTCAGTACCAAACCTGTGCTGCAAGTCCGCTTTTCAGCTGCTACGAAGATGGAGCAGCAAACAGCAAGTAGCAGCCCCTCACCAGAAGAAAGGAAAGAGCACCTCCTCCTGGCTCCTGCACCCCTGCCTTACGACATCCACCACCAAGAAGTTACGAGTACGTACCTTCCCTCCGTCAGACCTTGCCCAAGGCGGTCACAGATACAGGCTCTCGTAGGCGCCTGGAAATGCTGTTGCCCATCACCTAACAACTAAGGTGGCCACCGCAGCTGATAATTTAGGTGCGGTAAGGTAGCCCATTTCTGGTCGGGTGGGACAGCACCTGGAGCAGAAGCGAAAGACGAACCTCAGAAACAGCACGTCAAACTTCCCTTCCCATGCCTCGTGCTTCCACTATCTATCTCAAATCAACACCCGGCCACGCTTCTCCTCCACCACTGCCACACGAACTTCACCACGACAACTAGCTGTGCCTTTCGCCAACCTGACGTCGGATCGTTGGCATGGTCTGCATGCCCGCAACCTCCTGATAACATCTGCCATACCACTATCCTGGTTGCGTCGTCTCAGATTTTAGAGCCCCCCCAATCCCACAACGACCGCCGCTCGCCCTCAACCAACCCATTGCATCACCCGCACGCGATCCACTCCGATCGCTCACAACCACGACGTCCACTCTCCTGAACATCATCCGACCCTCCCATCGATAAACGCGCCTGCGCAACCTCGCTCGCCATGGCAGACGCGCCGAATACCCAGGACGAGCTCTACCCCATCGCCGTCCTCATCGACGAGCTAAAGGTATGGCGGTGACTCTGCCTGTCTAGCCCAGCCCCGACGTCAGCCTTCAGCCGCCAGCGCACAACACATTGCTAACCTTTTGCGATCCAGCACGACGATGTTCTCCTGCGTCTCAATGCCATTCACCGCCTCTCCACCATCGCCCTCGCCCTGGGCGCCGAGCGCACGCGTGAGGAATTGATTCCCTTCCTCGACGGTACGTCTTGCGCATCCATCCCTATGTGAGCCAATATCTAAACTTTCAATCAGAGTCCGTTGAGGACGAGGATGAGGTGCTAGTCGCTCTCAGCGGCGAGCTGGGCAACTTCATCGAGTATGTCGGAGGCGCCCAATGGGGCCATGTCCTCCTCTCCCCCCTCGAGAACCTCGCTGCCATTGAGGAACCCGTCGTGCGGGATAAGGTAGCTATTGCCCCCTGCTCCACCCACCAGTCACATCGCCTAATCAAAGCAGGCCGTCGAGTCCCTCAACAAGATCTGCGAGGAGCTGTCCTCCCAGCAAGTCGAAGAATACTTCATCCCCTTGACCATCCGACTTTCAAAAGCAGACTGGTTCACTTCCAAGGTGTCTGGCTGCGGTCTCTACACATCGCCCTACAAGAAGGTGTCCCCGGGCATTCAAGAAGACCTCCGAAAGCAGTTTGGACAGCTTGTCCACGATGAGACACCCATGGTCAGACGCCAGGCTGCCACCAACCTGGCAAAGTTCGTTAAGGAGATGCCGGCCGCTATCGTTGTTGAAGAGATGATACCCCTTTTCCAGCACCTCGCTCAGGACGACCAGGACAGCGTCCGCCTACTTACCGTCGAGATCCTCATTTCCATCGCCGAGGTCGTACCCAAGGAGCAGCAGTCGAGTCACGGCGTTCTCCTCACTTCCCTGCGAAACCTGATTGAGGACAAGAGCTGGAGGGTTCGGTACATGATTGCAGACAGATTTGAGAAGGTTGGCAGGAATGAATACGATCGTAGGGAGGGCCACGCTAATGCGCAAACAGATTTCCAAGGCTGTCGATGAGGAAGTCGTCTCAAGAGATCTGGTGCCATCTTTCGTGAAGCTCCTCAAGGACAACGAGGCAGAAGTCCGGACTGCGATTGCTGGACAAATACCAGGATTCTGTGCGCTTGTGGACCGCACTGTCCTTCTGAATGATATCATGAGCAGCGTGGAGGATCTCGTTTCCGACACCTCCCAGCATGTCAGAGCTGCTCTCGGTACCCAGATCAGCGGTCTCGCACCCATCTTGGGAAAGCAAGAGTAGGTTCTATGAGGGCTACACTTCCGCCACAAGCGACTAATTCGTCACAGAACTATCGACCACCTTCTGCCCATGTTCTTGCAAATGCTGAAGGACGAGTTCCCCGAAGTTCGCCTCCACATTATTTCCAAGCTTGAACTCGTCAACCAGGGTATGTGGTAGCTTATGAAACAATAGCATCTTACTAACCCTTCTGCAGTCATCGGAATCGACTTGCTCTCCCAGTCCCTTTTACCCGCCATTGTGCAGCTTGCTGAGGACAAGCAGTGGCGTGTGAGACTGGCCATCATCGAGTACATTCCTCTTCTTGCCAGCCAGCTTGGAGTTAAGTTCTTCGATGAGAAGCTGAGCAACCTCTGCATGAGCTGGTTGGGCGATACCGTCTTCTCGATCCGCGAGGCGGCGACGCACAACCTCAAGAAGCTTACAGAGGTCTTTGGAGTCGAGTGGGCGAGCGAGGCGATCATTCCCAAGGTTATGGCCATGGGCAACCACCCCAACTACCTGTACCGAATGACAACCGCTTTTGCCATCACCGTAAGTTGACGTCTTCGCCTCTATCGTACCAGAGATGCTAATGATTGCAGACCCTGGCTTCTGTTGTGAGCCTTGATGTCATTGCTGACAAGATCTTGCCCATGTTGGACAAGCTCGTCGACGATGAGATCCCCAACATTCGCTTCAACGTCGCCAAGACATATGGCGTTCTGATTGACGTCCTCCGCCGTTTGCCTGAAGAAGGCACGATTTACTCCCTGGAGAAGGAGGGCGGCAGCTTCACCGCGTCTCCCAGAGGCATGGAACTGATCCAAACACGCGTCATTCCTAAGCTCGAGAAGCTGCAGAAGGACGACGACGTCGACGTGCGGTACTTTGCGACAACGTCTGCGAACCAAGTGTCTGGACCTTCTTCTGGCGAACCTATGAATACATCACCATAGATGAGAGACGTAATGAAGCAATTCCCAATCTTTTTATCAGGACCGTCCCAAGACTCTTACCTTGCATGCTTCGACTAAACGCTACATGGTGCTGGGTGCTACTCCGGTTTCCCTGTCAGGCTTTACAAAAAAAGAAGAAGACTAACTAGACAGAGAGAGGCGAGGTTTTCACTGGTGGTTAACATTAGGAGAGATATCTTCAGGGGCATGGAAGCGACCATAGATGGGGCACAATGGAGGACGTGCGTGGCTGAGCGTAGGTGACGTTGCCTGACATTCCCCCCATCAAAGAAACACATTGTATGATACACCAGCAGCCGTCAGAGAAACGAGATGCAATAACGAAGAATGTTATCTAGTACCGTCGTGACCGACGTTCTTTTGCGGGGTATCTTGAAGGTCTTGTCATTCGTCTAACTCGTCGTTGCATGATGCTCTACCTTAGCTATGCCTGCCTCTGGAAGCACAAACTGCTGATGGTCTGGCCCTTGGCTCCGCCAAAGGTGAAGCTAGGGTAATCCACCTTGCCCACAGCAATAAACTTGCCCGCATCTCCCTCATTGGAAGGGCCCTCGAACCATTTCCTGAGCTCCTCCTCTGTCCAGTTACAGCTTGTGATGAGAAGCAGGCCACCGGGCTTGACGAGGCGGAGCGCGCGGCCTCTGTATCCCTCGCAGATGCGCCTGCCCTGCGCGTCCTTTTCGTCGCTGAGGCAGATTGCGTCAAAGGTGCCCTTGTCGAGGACGACGTCCCAACCGTCTTTTTGGGGCCCGTTGAGCACGGTTTCCCAGGGTCCGTTCAGGACATCCCACTCTTCGAAATCTGGCTCTCTGGCGTCTGCCTCGTCGTCTTCGTCCCCGGCGGGTGCGTCGGACATGTCCTCATCCTCCTTGGCGGCAGCTTGCTGTCTCTGCGCCGCGATGCGGCGCGCCAGCTCGACGCTCTGCGGGGCGTAGTCGACGCCGAGGGCGCGGCCGGCCCAGCCCTCGTCGCGGAGGGCGAAGAGGAGGGAGCCGTTGCCGCAGCCGAGGTCGAGGAAGGTGGCGTCGGTTTGGCGGAGGGAGTGGTCGAAGGGGGCGGACTCGGTGAGGTCCTCGAGGTAGGTCAGGAGCTTTGACTCGGCGTCCGAGTCGTCGAACCAGACCGTGCCGCGGTCTTCTGGGTTCTGGGCGTTGTTTGTGAGTTCGGTCGTGTAGAGGGAGGCCCAGCTGTTCCAGTGGACCTGTTAGTTGAGGGATGCCGTTGGTGATGTAAGAGAGTTGGGTGTTGAGCGAAAGGGGTATGTCATTCGTTCGGGGCGTGGAGGGGTAATGGGTTGAGTGACGAACTATTCTTTTGTTCCGAGCTTGGAGGGCTCCAGGTGTGCTGGGGTAGATGCCATTTTGGGTGCAGTAGTTGTCAGAACCGGAGTTCGAGAAGTAGTATAGTAGCTTGGTGAAAGGACGAGTTCTTTGTGCCGAGAAAATGGACAATCATCAGCTAGCCTTCAACCCGATACTTTGGATCCGAATTTGATGCCATCGCGAAAAGAAGTTTGGCGGGGTGTTGTGCCGTTGTCAACCCGGATTGGAAGGCGGTGAGGCTCTTTTGACTGGCGGGTGGGACAACCCCCACTTCCTTGCCTGGTCACTGTTCTGTTCTGGCTCGGAGGTGCTAGGGATCCTTGCCCTGGCAATGGAGGGGTTGAGTCGGAAAGCTGCTGTAGGGCCAAAGGTTATGGCATCTGGCAGCTCGACGTTGGTTGGTAGGATGGGTTTTGGAAGAGCAAGAACCCAAATCCAAATGGCGGTTATGAGCAGCTGCGGGGTAGAATCTGATGCGATAGGAGGAGGAGGAGGAGGAGGAGGAAGACGACTGATTTGCATTTGCTGGACTGATGAGATTGGTTACATGTCACCCGGTTCTTGGGGATAGGTAGATTTGACCTGTTTCTGCTTTCTCAGAAATCAGACCAGAAGGTAGAAGTAAAGAGACAGGACAGTGGGAGCATTGACGTTTCCAAAATAGTTGGTGCGGTGTCAATGGTAGAACATACACCAGACAAGCTACTGCACCCACACGAGCCTCTCCCTCTCCTCCTCTCAGTCTCAGTTTCCCATGCCTGCAATAGTTTCGCAGCGAGATGCAAAACCGTTTCGATGGCAATGGTACCCACGTGCGTCGAGGGAGTAGAGAAGTACAGATTACACATAAGCTGAGGACTCGCACAGCTGGTGTGTGATGACTCTTCTGCATGGTAGCAGAGAGAGGGGTCTGTGTTTTACTAAACCCATTTGCCTAGTGACCCAAGTACCTCCTTCACCAGGCGACGACATCGCCACCCATGTGTTTGCTTGCTGTGATACTTTTCGTCTTAAATAGTTTATTGTGCAAAGAGCACGACCGCGCTCTGCTGACGAGAGGAGGGGGTTTGGGGAAGGGGGTGAGAGGAGAGAGGTGACGTTTCGTCTGGTGTCGTGAGGTTCGTTCATATACAGGCACAAGGCGCACACTGACATCGTATCAGCCCGTCGCCCTCTTTTTCTTCATCCACTCGTTCCCTTCTTCTTTTTGGCGTATCGCCAAACTCATGTTAGTGACTTCTTTTTCCTCCCAAAATCGGTTTAATCGCGCTCGCTCTATTGCGGATCGAATAGGATAATCATTAATCGAAAACCTGACAGACTTCTGCCATCCATCGAATAGAAACGGGAGCCACGATGTGCAGCTTCCACTTCCTCCTCAGCTTCGCCCTCTTCCTTTCCCTAGCTCTCAGCGCAAGCGACGCCGTCGCTGCGGCACACCATATCGACCGTCGTCAGGTTCATCTCGGAGCGCGACAGACTCCGGGCCAGGAAGAGACCAGAACCAGAGGTGTAAGTCTTTGCTAAGTAATAGAGTCGAGCCAAATGTCAACAAATAGTTCTCCAGGGCTGACGTCGATATGAAATAGACTTGTACGCAGATGAGCAACAAATGTAACTTGACAGGACGAGATGCTCAGGTCTGCCCGGCGGACTACAACAGAGTCAGTCACCTACCTTGATATTACGGGTGCGAAAATACCTCCAGTCGCACGAGCTGACATTAGCCCCCAGTGTCCCTTCGACGGTGCATCGTGTGTTCTAATTGAGCCAAAAGGGGACTCCAGCCGCAAGCCTGAGGTGCGCTGCGGCTATCTGGGCAGTACACGTTCGTGAGTCAGGAACGGGACGGTTGTGAGAAACGGCAAGAAAGCAAGCAACTTGTGAAGGTACCCTGGAGACTATCTAGGCTCTCTGTTTTCAGTAGAGAGCAGACATCCAAGTGTTCCTTCTGGTATGAATGTGAATCTTCAGTCATGAATTCCGCCCCTTTCCATCCGCATTGTTGATGGTTGACTCCTGTCCCCTTCCTTCTGGCCAAGGTTTTTAACCAGTATGGACCTCTTTCCATGCTCGTAACGCAGCAAATTCGATTGGAAATACCGCTCATCTACAGGGATTGCCGCCAGGTCACCAAAGCATCTTTCTTCGCACTCGGTATATCTGGAAATACGCTCAAAGCGCCCAAACAGTCGCCTTGACAAGAACCTGGCGACCACGAACTTCCACTACCGGGAAGCCCGCAAGTCTCACCGTGCTGTTGTCCTTAGGGGGAAGAGCTGAAGGAAGGGCGGTATCAGTACTTGTGCCAACGATTGACGACGCAGTGCTGCCCTTGCGGCCCGCCTGCGGTCCACCGCTGAGTATATTTGTGAACATACCGCTCTTGGTCTTGTCCGCCCGTTGGTTCTTGCCGCTCTTGTCCTTATCGCCTTCGTCGGCCTCTGCTTCGCCCTCCGCTTTTTGAATTTCCAAAGGTGGAAGCGGTGTCTTCTCGACATCCATGATGTTCAGTTGAATCGGGTCTCCAGGTAGAGGGTAGTTGATTGCGACATCTCTGCTCTCTAGCGGCAGGTTGGCTGCGATGCCCACGGCCAATTCAACAATCATGGATGCGCTGCCGTCCACTCCAGCTGGCGGCGGGTCTGTCATATACTGGAAAAGTGTCGCCGTGAGGTTCGATGTGCACATCCGAGTAAAGTCCGCCCTGTTGTCTGCACTCTCCGGGGAGTTGAGAACTCTCTGCAGACCCTCAAGGGTGGCCATTCGCCAGCTCACGACCTTATTTGTCAATGCATCGAACTCTTCTTGGCTGCTCATCGTGTACGAGAAACGGCGGATGTTGAGCTCAATCTCCTTCAGCTGCCTGCTGAGCTCGAAGTTGAGGCCGGGGTGGAAGCACTTGTTAAAGATCTCTTCTACAATCCACCTGGTAATGACGGCACGACCAACGGCTGTCATCTCCTGTTTTCCGGTCTTAAGAGCATCAATGCTGACAAACATGTCTAACCACTGCGGCACTGTACGCCAATCTTTTCTGATATTGAACGAGAGGTTGTTGATAGCACCATTCAGACGGCTGAATCTCGTTATATACTCGCTGTCGTCGAGGGCAGTCCGCGACTGTGACATTCGCTGGTTGGCGACTGCATTTTGCAGCACCTCAATTTGAGAGTTGAGGTTATCGATCTGGGTCTTGCCGTCAAAGTACAACCGCTTAACATTCTTATACTTAGTTACTGTGACTTGTTAGTACACTTCCAACACAGCATTCATGTCCTCCTTACGAAGCTCTTTGAATTTGTCGGGATCTGTGCCGTCTCGATCGGGGTTGGAGGGCTGTGGGCTGTTCCGGCCTTGCTCTCCGGTGGCGCCTTCAAACTGCCGCGAGTCTGCAGCACCGCCTGGTCGGAAGGCAGCGTTGGCGCTGCCAGTGGTGGGAGGCATGGTCTGGCTTTGTCTGTAACCGGGAGGGCCTGCAGATGCGTCGACCTGACTGCGCAATGCCTTCTCTGTCTCCTGGGATCGTCTGTTCGGGGGAGGGCCGCCAGAGGGAGGGGCCATATTCTGCTGCTGCGACTGCTGCTGCTGGGCTTGAGATCCTCCTTGCTGAGCAGGGGGAAGTGTTGAAGGCAGCGGGCTGTCTGTGGTCTGTACAGCGTACCTCACTGCGGGGGAGGTTTGGTTGGAATGTACGTTTGCCGACAGAGCGTCTGAATCAGTGATGGGTGATTCATGCGACAACTGGGAAACAGTCTCGGGGTTTTGATGCGAACCGGCACCCAAGTGACTAGTGTAGATCGTGGGTGGTCCAGCTTGGTACTGACCAGGCTGCTGGTTGGAGTATTGTTGCTGATACTGCTGCTGTGAGGGGTCGTAAGCAGGCTGCTGACCGTGTTGCTGCTGTTCCTGTACGGTCGGGATCTGCTGTGGCTGGCGATCTCCGTAGTCGGCTTCTTCGTAGGGGGTGTTGTCGAAGTCGGTCGGGACGTAGCGAATGGAGTTGCGATTGGAATCGGGGTTCTGTAGACGAGGGTCTCTGTTAGGGTCTTGTGCAAATTGGTGATGTTCGGTCTCGCCGACGCCCTGTAAGGGGGAAGGTTGTTGATGAGGTGCCGTAAGCGGCCAGTCGACAGATTGTTGGTCCAAGGACTGCTGGGACGGCTGCTGGGACAAAGTAATTCTTGCGGGTGGTGGGTTGCTCACTCTTTTGGACGGTCGGCGAGCAAGACCACCGGTGTTATCGTAGGAACTTGGCGGGGTAGGTTGGGGGGGCGGGGTGTTGTGATGATCGCGGCCCGATCCGCCCAAAATGTTTCTGAGCAGCTTTCGTGCAGATCGCTTTTCCGGGACGGGGGCGGGTTGCTGTTGCGGAAGAGGTGAGGTTGCTTGAGGTTGAGCGGAGGCGGAAGCAGATGAGGTGCTGTTGACGGAAGTTCTGAGGTTGTCGACGGAGCTAGATGCAGCACCGGTTTTGGCGTTGTTGGAGTAGGGGGCCACGCCGGGCGGGTAGCGCTGTGACTGGGAGCGGGAGACGGAGTCGGTGTAATCCTGCTGACTCCTCTGGCGCAAATCAGCTATGGGTGGATTGTGGTGCTGCAATAGGAGGGAGTTGCGCGAGGTTGAGGCAGGAGGATGGTAATCGTGGGGCTGCTGCAGTGGAGATGGCCCTTGCTGCCCTTGCTGGTGTTGTTGTTGTTGTTGAAGGAGTTGTTGCTGTTGGAGCTGATGTTGTTGATGAGCTGCCAGCTGGTTTGGGTGGATGTCAAAGGATTCGCTGGAGCTGAAGGCGGTCGACGAGGCTGAATGGGGGGTAATTTGATTGAGACTATTAGCGCCGGCGGCGTTGTTGGCCGTGGTTGTGCCAGAGCCTGCACTCAAGGCAGGAGCGAGGGAGGAGGAGTGAGAGTGAGATGAGGAGGAAGGAGCACCGGCGGCACCAGCAGGGCCGGAAGGCGGCGCAGAACCAGAAGGACCAGGCGTGGGATGTGATGCCGCTGAACCTCCTAAACCTGAACCTGAGCCAGATCCAGCAGCAACCTCTCCGCCCGGATCAACAAGTCCTTGCTGCGAGCGGTTGTGGTGCCTTCCAATGCGACCGAAGGCCGGCATTATAACACTGTGATGTCGTTGTGCGCAGCCGCCGCAGTCCAACCTGGCTTCTTCTTTTTTTGTTTATTGACCTTTTTTCTTGTTCCCTTGTTGCTTGTTCGGGACGCTTGCCCTCCACTGGAACACTGTGGGTAAAAAGGGTAGCAAGCAGATCGATCGTCCTAGGTATGCCAAACGGCACAGCCCGTGGGTTGACTGACTGAACAGACTGAAAATGAGAGAAAGCAGAGACAGACAGATACACAAGACCGGATGGTGGACCGAACGCGCAGCTTTGCTTGCTTGCTTGCTTCCGGGGGTACGCAGCAACGTAGCGGGACAGGCTTCGCTTCAGCTCAGCTTGGCTCAGTCAAATGTCGGCTCGAATCTTGTCTGTCCGTCGATGTGCAAGGTCGAGATGCAGTGGCAGAAGCAATGACAGCTAGCAACCAGCGGCAAGCAAGAAAGGGAAGCAAGAGGATGGCAAGACGAGAGATTGATCAGCCCGTCCTGCTGGTCCCTGTTCCTATTTTTTGCGCGCCTGCGCCTGCGCCTGCGGTTCTGCGTCTGCGAGGCCCTGTCTGTCCACTTCTCATCCAAGTTCAATCTAACCTACGTGTGCAGGTGCCCGCCAAAGGAAGCACCACCACCAGAGCAACAGGCAGAAGAACAGATGGATTGGTTCGGATTGGCTACCCAACCTGCAGAAGCGGATGCCGCGCTGGGCGACTGGGTCTAGGTCTGGGTTCCTTGGAGGGGCTTTCTTGGGGCTGTGCACAAGTCAACCCAGGTCGCCGTACGGATACTCCTCGCCAGCTGGAGAGCTGGATTCGCTTATGGCTTGATGCTAGGGTGCTGCCGATGGCTGCTTTGATAGAGGCTGTCAGAGACTGTCTGAATGTCCGTCCAGTCCTGGCGTGCAACGCTATCCCGTTCTCGACCAGCAATCGCAGGCCAGAAACGAATGGCTGCGAAAGATGGTTGGAGGGACACGCAGTCTCCTCCCTCGAGTCTTTCTGTCGGGGTTCTCCTCCGGCTGCCTCTATTACTGGCTGGGGTCACCTCTCTTCAGACGAACAGCGGTTAAGGCTCGATACTCGTGGGGGACGATGAGCGACACGCTACAGCTGCTGCGGGGGAGGGATCTGGGGTCGTTTGGTGAAACACAGGCTGGTTTCGATCCGTGTCCTCAGGGGTCGTCGTTCGAGGTCTTGTCATCGGCAACCCAGAGATAAAGCCTCGAAAGCCAAGCGCTTGGATGGCAGAGACAAACGATGAGCGGTTGAACAACGAATTGATAACGGGCGAGAGTTGCGGGTTGCTCAATGGTCAGTTGTGGATGTCAACGGTAAATTCGATTCAACCCGATGGAAATTGGGCGGAATGTGGAAGAGGGGGGCGTAATCAGAACGGAGGAGAGGAGGTGAATGGTGTCGTGGTGGGATCCCACGCCAGGATAGGGCTGATCAATTACCTTTTCGCCGGTTGACCTTCTTCTTCCCACTGAGAACGAGCTACGGACACGAGATGGTGCCTCGCGAAACGAATTATCGGATGGGGAATTGACCATTCGAAGGAAGCCTTGAGAGAAATAAACCGCCAAGGAAATGATAGAGATCCGATGTCTTCCTCACTCCGACTCTGAGCTTACTTACATGCCATGTTTGTGTCCGGAGCTCGCGGCAAGCAAGGCAAGTTCAAGGCTAGCAAATGCTTGCCATCTGTCAGCACCAGCGATGGTGATGGCACGGGCTCGGGCATTCTCAACATCAGATCGTTCAAAAATTCGGCTCAAGTCTGGACGTAATAGGCTCGAAGATCGTTGGGCGTCAAATTCACACAAGCCTCCGTCCGAATTACAACCACGAGCTCATCCATTTTCCGTCAACAACGACGACCCTTCATTGTTCAGCAAGACCCTCATTCGCCTTCAGTCACCTTCTTGGCCACTCGGTAGTGCGGGAGAGCTGCTGCCACCCTGCACCGAGCAGGCCAAACCCAGCCCAGACTAGCCGGCCCTTGGCCTGCATCCCCGTTGTCAAAAATCACCGACTATGCAATAACGTGCGGCCCTGCGGCTGACACCCAGCCCCGAACAGCATGCGTAGACGGGGAAAGCGGACCACCCATAATCCGTATGTTGACCAAGCTGAGCGGTGCAGTGCAGAGGGGAAGGGGCAAAGAGGAGTGCCAAATCCGAGGCTTTGCACCTAAGCATCGGGCTACGACTTTCCCGACAGCATTAAGCACTCACTTACTTCTACCCTGCAAGCGTGCAGACAAGCGCACGCCTCTTGCGGCCGTTCTTCATCTCAAAACAAATCAGGAGATAATGCAAACCCTCGTCGATATCTTGGTATTGAGGCCAGAATCGACATACTTGGGCATACAATTTTTTGGAAATCTGGGAAATGTTGACATTACACAGCAAACGACAGAGTTTGAGATGGGCACCTGGAATTACTCTCCCCAGAGGCTATGTAAGTACCACCTACCTTATCCCCGCCGAACAGGCGCAGCTCGGACAGCTCAGCCCTAACGGAACCTTGTTCGTGGGCATAACTTTCCTGGTGCGGCGTGCCAAGGTAGTTTCTCTTCGTGTGTCCTCCTTCACTTTAACTGCAAATGAGCAGTGGGGAGCTCTCCCACCTTATTCTCGGCGAAGGCTGGCCCGTGTCTCCTCCCCCACCTCACGATGCTTTGTCTCGCTCCGATATGGGACAGCGTCACCATGAGGCTTTAGCTCCATATTCGCAGAGGTCGTATCATTAACATATAAACAAGCATACGGATATCTGCAGCATGAACAAGCCATTCCACCCATAACGCTACGTCCAGCTTGGCATTCCTTACGCCGTGTTTGCAAGAAACTAAGCTCCAGCCTTTCAGTCGTCTCAAGATGCTTATCAGCTGTTCTAGTCTCCGGTTCGTTTTATGCATTATGGGCGATGGGACGTTTCCTCTAGACACGCAGAGCTATTTTCAAGGTGTAAACAGGAAACGCGGTTGCCACGATATCCTACTTCTTTGCAGCAACTAGCAGGACTAACCTCATAGCTAGATGCTATCTTTACAACCGAGCAAATGAGCTCTGGCAAATCGATAGACCTCGAGCCTAGCTAGACAGCTTAGGTGGAGTCGTCTCCAGAGCAAGATGAAGCTACCTACCAATCAACCTACTGGGGACAGAGAAAACAGGGCTAACAGTACGGAGTAAGCTCAGTAAGGTTCTTCATGTCTACGTAGTATGCGTACAGCTCATGGCAAATTACAAACACGTGTGCTTTTGCAGTGAAGCTACCAGGGGGTGAGTCATGCTGCGTCATTTGAATTGAATCGTGAGAGATGACATTTTGCTTTACGGGTAGATGAGAGAGTTAGTCCACAAAGCTACTTCGTAACTCTGGAGCAGCTGTCCAAAGACCTATATCTCCGGGCCTACGGGAATCAAACGAGGACTTGACGATACCGTCACAGAATGCAGCATATGTTTGCATCGTCTACCTCGCCCGTTCCACCGACTGCAGCGCCCTCTGAGCTTGACCTTCTGGCATTCAAACCTGGGCAGTTGTTCAGAGGCTCGCATACAGCTGGGAAAAGCATGCCGATGGCCGGTCAAGCGATCCAATGTCGGCAGGGGTCTTGCACAAAAATGGGGTGTGGAGGGGGGCAGAGGGGAGACCCTTTTGCATCAAGCTCCTCTACAAAAAAGTTTGTTTGGCGTGGTTAGGGTCTATTAATAGACCCCGTCGTACACTATGTACTGGGAGAGGATGGAAAGGGGGGTCCCAAACCCTGGAGAGGGCGAATCCGACTTGTCCATTCGTGCCATTCTGGACTCGCAGTCTCCAGAGAGCGGACTTCCATTGGCGATGGGAGGCGACTCTCTCTCTGTCTCTCTATCTCTCAGCTCTCTCTCCGCAACTGGACTTATCCGAATCAGGGATGGCTCGGGCTCTTTCCAGCTCACCTCACCTACGTAGTAAGACAAACGACAGGGGGGCAAGCAGGCGGAGGAGGGGCTCCACGGTGCACCAGGTTCACCACTCCATGTTCGACACCGGCCGCTGGGGACCGCAGATCTCGCCGCCATCCACAATGACACGACACCGCAATGCCATCTGACCTTTTATGTTGATGATCCCTAAGAAATCAGCAGATCTAGCCATACCTACTGCACTCGTGGCTGCCAACATCCTGTTGTACGGATACAAGTCCAGGAAATGCCGGCTTTCAAGTTGGGAGGAAGTAAGTGCCTTTGGATGGAATTGAGACGAGGTGATCTCCATGCCGGATGTTTCTCGATGTAAAGCTTTTGCTCTGCATGAGTCGTGACAAGCAAAGCAGTAGTGTCCGTAGACGCTCCTCGTCAACAACTGACTGTTTCAGCGGGTATACGTTTGGGGTGTCGAAGGTGCTCTTGTTCTTCTTGTCATATGCATCATGCAAGGCTGATGCGAAGGTATGCAAGTAATCATCATCATGGCTGAGTCCAATAGACCAGGGATCTCGGCCGAAGTATTAGTTTTCTGCAGCAGAGCCACGTTCTAGAATCAAATACTACCAGGGGAATACGACACATTAGTCTTACGCCTCGTTTGCTTGCAAACCAACCACGATTAGTCTGATGGATGCTTTCAAATGGCTGATAGCTACTTCTCGTGACATCTCAGCGTAAGGCGCTCCAGTACGGCATGAGAAAGTCTGCACTCCCAAAAATAAGAGAATAATTCGGCGAGAGGCCGAAATGGCTTCAACTCAGCACTAACGATGCCTTGGATGTATGATGATTGTCTGTAGCCCAGAACATTACTGTGGTACGTGGGACCGAGGGGTCCTCCTCGGCACGCCCGCGGTTCCGTCCCGTCTGGGTCCCCGTGGTCCGCGGCCCGCGGTTTACTCAGCGGCCCCGGCAGACACTATAAGTCAGCGGAGCTTGCCATCCGCGATTCGAGACTCGGCCCTGTCCAGGACGTGCGAGTGTATGTTGAGATGTGGACGATGCCGGCCATCACATGACAGCCTTGTATCCGGTCTGCTTTGAGTCGTTTCAGGCGATTAATCTTGCGTGCTGTATCTTCTGGCATCCCAGTGGAACAGCTCTCAAGGTACTGATAATGTTCATGGCTCGGCAGAGCTTGGTAATGCGGATGATCTGATTGGGAGTGGTGACTTGGAAAGGCCATCACTTCCGAGTTGATCATTTTGAGGGTGGCCTGTAGGGAAGGGCCAGTCTTTGGGACGAATCTAGGAAAGATGATCAACAACATCAGTTCTGGGTTACTGTAATTAGAACGCAGACCCTCTATCGTCTTGGGCTATATATGGCCACAGCTTGAAAGAGAATCCCGATATTCCACCCATAGAACGTGATATCCAACTGAATGTTAACTCGCTAGGTTTGGTCGTTGGGATTGACTGTTTCAGTAAGTATGAGGAGACAATGACTGACTTAGAGAAAAAGACACCAGGAGTCTCAAACTGAGTAGGTTGGCGAAAGAGATATCTTAACATGACAATAAAACCATCGAGCTCGTTTCATTTGACTCAGCTTTCCCCCTGACTTCGTAATTTCGCCATCACAAGCACGTTTGCGACTCATGGTCGCTTCGGCCCAGATCGATAGAAGCAGGACCAGTGATTCTGAAGGGACTGCATAAAGAATTGCTGCTCGAACGCACTCAAGACATGACTAGGTATCGTTGTTTCCATCTCAAGATATGTATTGGTAGTTAGTTATTCGCTTTTGCGTTATGGAGAACGTTTTGCTGCTCATGTGTTTAAGAACAGCTTTCCCAATTTATTTTCAGACCCCCCGTGACAAGATGACACACGGCTGGTCACTAGACGCGCTCCCATCTTTTGCCACGCAATGACGATGTTTTTGCAAGTCTGGCTTGCCACAGAATCTCGTAGAGGTTTCGTGGAAGGTTGTCGATCCAAGAGCTCATACACCGCTGTTGGTTCGGGTGGGATGATAAGTAAGATACAATGAGTATCTAGTATCCCATGAAGGTAATGTTCGAAGTACTGGACTGTAGCTTGAGGTCATAGTGCCGAGATTCAAAGTCTCGAGGAGGTCTTTCCACTGATGGTTATGATTCATCTCCGTTGAGCCGTCTACCAGAAGCCGGAACACAACGAATTCTTCGACTGTGTCAAGAAGAATGCACAAGCCTTGGTAATGCTGTCTACGTTTCATCTCAGCTGCCAATACAAGTCCTAAAATCACTTAGAGACCGGCAGAACCCAAGGCGAAATGCGTGCCTTATTGTGTGAAAGGTGTCTTCAACCTTTGCCAAGCTGTTGCTTCAAGACACTCAACACCAGCAACGCCGTCTGTCATTTGCCTGTCACGGGTGGCGCCGTCAAAGAGACTAGTCTGTGCCTAGATTCCACCGTCCGACCTACAGTCCTCGTGGCAACAGGTCCCGTTGGGTTTTTCAAAATCCCTGGTTACATCGTAGGCCGGCAACACGAAGCTTAGTTACACAGGTTGTTTTTCTTCGGCAGTTACATGCACCGGTGACACGACTGCTCTGCAAAAAACGCTGTGATCACTTCATCATATTGTGAATCGCATAGCCAACATAGTTGTGTGAAGAGCGGTGTGATGCCTGCTGGACTGTTATCCTTGGCCTTGGATATCAGAGTGG